GGGATATGACCTTCACGGCCACTGGCCAGAGGTACTTCCTCAAGTAAGTCACCCTGCGGCGAGGGGGACACAGCGATGATGCCCAGGGCGCGCGCGTGTTCGTGTGTGTGTTTGTGTGTGTGTGTGTGTGTGTGAGTGTGGGGGGGTGGATTCCACGGTCTTCCCCCAAAGATCTGGAAAGCTAGAAATAGAGAGTGAATTTCTGGGAGTTGGGCTTGTCTTGTAAAGGATCAGAAACGGAGAAGTGTCTGATGGAGTTCATCCACCGTCCCGGAAGTCCCAAGTGATTCAGAACACAGAAACTCCTAACTTTTAAGAGCACAAAAGAAGGATATTTTGCCCTGAATGCAGACCTTAGGCCCTTGGCCCCTTCTCCCCTGCACCTACCACACTAAGTCAGTTAGCCAGCCCACAGGTCAGACTCTGGGATAAAAGAGAGAAAAGTGGAAGACCGGGGAGAAGAATCTTCCGGGGGAGTAGGTTTGTGCACCCCTTTAGCTTTTTGGGAAAAGCTAGCTGAAAAACTGAACAATGTGTGGTAGACCTTACTGTTCCCGTCTGAGTGACGTAGTAGCCAAACAGCAATGATGTAATTAGCAATTGCAGCGAAGTGGCTGTGGGCTGGACCAACCCTGTGGAAATTGGGTCAGAGTTTTGTTATGTCATTTGTGGTTACCCAAAATTCCATCAGATCAGGAGCCTGCTTTTGTCACTCACTACCCTTCTCTGCTGTAGCTTTTTGATGTACTGAATTTTACAGTAGATTTGAATTTCTGAATTAGGCTCTACAGGAAAACACAGTCTCAAACACCAGGGGAGATTGTTTCCGTTGTGCTATCCTAAGATCATTGCATTCCTGCAGAGAAACCAAGCTGGAACTTGAAATGTAACCAGTGAGGTCATAGGGTCAGCTATCAGATGCCCGCTAGACCACTTGGCTCGGGGTTGTTTGCACTTGGCTGGCATTCGCTGCCAACAAGGGAAGGGGCTAAGAAAGAACTTGCCTTAGAGTTCATCTTAAAGCCCATATTTCTTTGATCTGGTGTGGCCTTAGTTCAGAAAGTCCAAAGTGTTAAGACATGTTATTTTAAAAACGTATTCAAGGTCCTCTTCGCGATTGGTATTTGGTACTGGGCTGTGAGGTCCCTGAGAACGAGGTGCAGTGAGGGATGCAGTTTATTACAGCCAACTCTTTGACTCATTCTCGGGACCAGTGCTTGTTTCTTTCTCATCCCTACTCTGTTGACATCTTGGGTAGTTGCTTTGTTGTTTCTAGGGTTGGTGCAGTTCTGATCCTCTGTGGGTTATTGAGCCATAGTATAGACACGTGCTCAGTGCTCTGATTTCTGAATGGCTGGCAGAAGTCACGTATATGATGTAATAACATGACATTTCCTAAGTGGGATGATACTGTCCCAAAGAAGGGATTTAGTTCCCTCGCTCCCTTCCTCTCTCCTCCCTTCCTTCCTTCCTTCTTTTGCAGTGCTGGGGATTGAACCCAGAACTTTTATACTGAGCTATATCCCCAGCCCTTCTTTAAGTCACTAAGTTGCCCTGGCCGGGTTCAAACTTGTGTTCCTCCTGCCTCAGCCTCACTTAGTGCTCGAGTCACAGGCAAACACTGCCATGACCAGCAGCATTAGTTTCTATGGTAATACAGGTCCAAGGTAGCTGGTTTGTGTCCTGCATTAAATTCACTTAGGTAAATGCAGTTTTGCATATTTTATTATGATTTTTATCAAAGGGGACTTAGTAATAAATAATAGAGCTTCAATAATTTGGGGGGAGACTTTTTTGGTTTCTGATGATTTTTATTTTATTTTTTTTGAGACAGAGTCTCACTAAGTAGTTCAGGCTGGACTTGAACTCACTATGTATGGAACCCAGGCTGGCCTTGAACTCATGGTGATCCTCCTGCTTTAGCCTCCCGAGTGCTGGAATTACAGGTGTGTGACACCATGCCCAGCCTCAGATGATTTTAAAACTGTTTATGAATGTACACATGTAAATAGTATGTGATAATTGCCGAGCATCATGATGGTGTGTGTGTGTGTAATCACAACACCGAGGAGGTTGAAGTAAGAGGATAACTATGAATTCAGGGCCAGCCTGAGCTGCATAGTAAGTCCAAGACTAACCTAAGCTGCATAGTAAGACCCTGTCCCCTCCCCACCAAAAAGATTATTATTTAGCCAGGTGAGATGGTGCATGCCTGTAATTCCAGCACTTGAGAGGCAGAGGCAGGAGGATTGCCTCAAGTTCGAGGCTAGCCTGGGCTACATAGTGAGTTCAGGGCCAGCCTTGTACTACAAAGTGAGACCCTGTCTGTAAAAACAAAACAAAAAAAAGCCATGTCTGTGGAAAGCTAAAGGAAAGAGACCACAAAACAAAAATTTCTTTTATACATCTTTTTTGTTTGTTTTGTTTTGCTTTTGTTTTTTGAGACAGGGTCTCACTATGTAGTTGAGACTGACCAGGAACTCACTATGTAGCCCAGGCTGGTCTCGAACTCACAGCGATTCTCCTGCCTCAGCCTCCTGAGGGCTGGGATTACAGGTGTGCGCCATCACACCCAGCTTATAAATCTGTTTTGAATGATGAGAGTAAATCAGACTGTTGGTGATTTATGGTAAAAATGAAGTTGGCCTTTGGGTTAGGGAAGTTGCTGTGTTCCTCTCTGCCCCTCTCTTCTCTTACTCCCTAACCCAGGGCAGAGTACAACTTCATTTCACTTAGTCAATGAAGATGACAACTGAAAAGTGCTTTGTATGTTGGCCTGATCTGATTCTATCCATGGAAAATTTTTGTCCATGTGAATAGGAGAATTTTGTTTTTTTTTTGTGCTGGGGATCCAACTCAGGCCCTTGCGCTTGCAAGGCAGGCAGCAGAACCACTGAGCCAAATCCCCAGCCCCATTGTGATTGACTGTAGTCTTTCAATATAGGCAATCTGCCAAGGGTTCTCATAAGTTTCTTTAGAGCTTTGTTTAAAGTTTGAAGAATGTAATTTGGGGGCAGGGATGTACTGGGGATCGAACTCGGGTCCTTGCGCTTGTGAAGCAGGCGGCGGAGCCACTGAGCTAAATCCCCGACCCCCTTTTTTTTTTTTTTTCTTTTTTTAAAGACAGGGTCTTGCTGTGTAGTCCAGGCTGGCCTCCAATTCTTGGTAATCTTTCTGCCTTAACCTCCTGAGTGCTGGGATTATAGGGATGCGCTACCACACCTGGCTGGGGGAAAGTAAATGCTATCTATCACACTTTATTACACAGCCTCCAAAGGCAGCGTATTTTGGTGGATTCAGTAGAAGCTTGAGAAATGATGGCAATTGACCCTGGCATAATTTTCTTAAAAATTGTCTATTACCTGGCGCCCTCATCTGTGAAATGGGGCTCGCTGAGGAATCCTGTTCTTCACGCTGGTAAGAACTGGGGGCTTCGTGTATCAGAAATCAAAGGATTTTAGAATTGACACGGATCAATAATTTTGCTTTCTTTGCCAGAAAATGAGGCCGGCAAAGGGCGAGGGCGTGACCGTGGGAAGCCCTGCAGTTACTTAGCGCTGGACCCCGAGCTGGACCCCGAGCCGAGCCGGCCTCCCTTAGCTTCCTTTCCCCACCCCCACCTGGTGCAGGGTCACTTCCCTAGCTGAACAGTGGGCTTTACGGGAAGCTCCGAGCAGCCTTGACATCCAGGGAAGCTTTCAGAAGTCTTGACCCTTTCTCAGGTAAGACTGTGGCCCGGTATATGACGAAACCACTCTGGGCTGCACCGCAGAGGTCACCTTTCCTGTGCATTTGCCGCCCCTTCGCTGTGCGTTTGGATGTGAGGGCCCAGGGTAACAAGGGAAACCCCTGCGGCCTCAGGAACATCTTCCACTGTTCCTCTTCCCCTCCAAGCCGCAGATCAGGCTGGGTGTGCGACAGCCTCGCGTGCCGACTTTGAACACTGGTCACATTGAGTTTTTCAGTTTCGGTTAAGAGAGAATACTTTCCTTCATTAGTGTGCTTGTGATACAAATACATTCATGGTGCAGAACTGGTACCTTCACATGTAATGGAGCATCTTCATCCTTTTTATTTCCCTTTATGCTTTTCCCTTGCATTACATGTGTTTTTGTACATAAACCAGAAAACAAAGAATTATAAAGAAGAAACTGATCTCGCTTCAGTAGTAAGCAATTTCTTTTTATTTTTGGTACTGGGGATCGAACTCGGGACCTTGTGCTTGCGAAGCAGGTGACAGAACCACTGAGCTAAATCCCCGGCGCTTGTCCTGTTCTTACACAATTCCAGCTGTAGCATTTGGCTGCATTCTTAATTTTTAGTAATTTATTGTTTGCCTGTTCTGAAATTTGTGGCAAAAGTGATTTCTGTCAAACATATGTTTAAATGCCACATTGTTTCTCTGGTGTAAGAAACAAAGTGAACATTAGGCCTTACACATACAATAGACATTGGGAAATGGGAAGAAAATGTTCAAGTGAAAGGCCGAGTGGGGTCGAAGGGAGGGAGGGACCGGAGAATAAGGACAGCATAGAAGGAAAAATTGGAAACAAAGCTTTTGTAAAAAAGGAGGGGAAGGGAGATGGAAGAGGGCTTGGGAAAAAGAAGATCAGTCGTGTGCAGGTACAGATTCCCTATGATGGATGTTATTATTATGCATATCTAAAGTGAACCAATACATGCTTTGCAAAACAAAAAATTGTCAAGGAGAGCTACACACTTGGTGACAAATGCTGTACTACAGAAGGATTTTTGTTAGAAACAGTGGTTTCTTTGACCTCCTCGAGGCTCACAGAGAAGACCTTTTAATTTTTGTAAAAACTGTATTTACTGCTCAGATTGTTACCTTTCTTTTTTTCTTTCTCTTTTGAGACAGGGTCTCACTGCGTAGTTGAGACTGACCTGGAACTGACTATGTAGCCCAGGCTGGTCTCGAACTCGCAGGGATCCTCCTGCCTCAGCCTCCGGAGTTCTGAGATAACAGGCTTGTGCCACCAAGCCTGGCCAATCTCAATTTTCTTTTCTTTTTTTTTTTTTGCATTT